TCTTTTCTATTTGTTTATTTAAAGATGAGGGAAAATTAGTTATTTTACAATGCTCTAATGAAAAAATAGATGGCAAGGACCTTTTTATGCAAAGAAATATCAATCTCAGGCTCTAAATGTAAAAATTAAAATGATGGGAGAACTTTGAGCAATGAAGGAAAACGATAAATATGTTTTACACCAATTATCCATATTTGACGGAAGATATTGATGAAAATAAACAACTAGCCAAAAAATGTCAAAATAACAATAGAGAAGATTTGAGCAGTGAGTACAAAACTATGAGAACATTTTTTTGTTAATTACCCCAAATCCAAAATATTATTATTAAATATAACTCTAATCTATTCAATTATATATACGAAACAATTGATATAACACCTTAATTCAGGTGTGAAATGCTCTATAGGATCCTTTAACACATGCATACTTTATGAGTCTCCCGTTTATACCCCGTTGAACAATTTTTATTTTTAAATTTTTTTTAAATTATTAATTTTAAAATGAATAAATAACTTAAATATGGGAAAAATTCATAATTAAGAATTTTAGAGGTTAACTATAACCTATTTCAAAAGTAAGAATAAATGTTTCAAATTTCAAAAATTAGATTTTTTTTAAATTTTATTTATGATTTAATTAATTAATTATATATTAGTTAATTAAATATATTACGATCACAAATCAACAATTTAATTAGTTACACATTATTTTTCGATACAACCACATAAAACACCACTTCGTGCGCTCTAGTAGTAGATCTACTTTGCAATCTGCCACTGTCTGATCAACCACCACGGCTACCTCCACAACATCGCTACCACACTAACATCATCACCACAATCACATAAAACACCATTTTCGCACACTCTGGTAGTAGATCTGCTTTGCAAATATAGTCACCAGCGATTCGCTCCTTTTGGGGTGAAATGGTTAGAGGCTGGGTGATGGGGTCGGGCGACGACGACAGAAAGGTGAGGAGTTTGAGATTGTTGGAGGTGAAAATGTAGAGAGAGTGGATGGGTGATGTGTTGTGTATAGAGAGAATGGAGGGAGGCGATGTATTGGTGTAGAGTGGATAAATGTAGAGAAAGATAGGAGAGTGAGAATTAATTAGGATTTGTGATGTGTGTATATTGGAGTATATATATTTAGTAAAACTATTTATCTTATAAAAATATTGGTAAAAAATAAAATTTCTGATTTTTGAATAATGAAACATCCAACTTGAGTTTGGAATACCAAATTTTAAAGTAGGGTGTGATACAATTTCTACTTGAAATATTAAAAGGATAATAGCAATGGACATTATATTTGAATGGGCCATGAAAATGAATATGTGGCCTTTTAATTTGTAGCCCATTAGTGCACTTAAGACCAAGGCTTTATACTGTCCCCACCCCATTTCCCAATGGGAAAAGTTCAAAAATCAGGTGTCAAGTATGACACAATTCAATTCTCAAGTCTCAAATTTAAAAATGCAGAACTCAGATATTGATTAATTAATTAAATATATTTATTATTTAAATATAATAAGATCACAGTTGCACAACTAATGGTCATAGATACACAATTATAGGTCACAAATAAAAAATTCTATAGGTTACAGACTGTTTCGTTGGTCACAGATAAAAAAAATTATAGGTCACAATTTATCCATCGGTCACATATTTACAATTTTGTTGGTCACAAATTATTTTTTAGTCACATATTATCGAATTTTAAGGTCACAGTGGAATAGTCACAAATTTTATGGTCACAGTTTATCACACCCTACCTCGTCGTGACACGACACATCACCACCCACAGATCTGCCACCGCCACTTGCAACCACCCTTGCCTTGTGACCGTCCCCAAAATCACAAGACCACCACCTGCACCACCGCCACCGCCATCACCATCACCATCGTCTGCCGTCACCACTAGCATCTTGTTCCAACTTCCAACAACCACCAACAACCACCCACAGCACCCAACCAGATCTGCAGTGCCATGGAGAAATGCCGCCGGTGCACACTGCCAACACCACGCCATCGCTGTTGCGAACACCCACCCACCCACGCACCCGCATACACACACCCCACACCACGCACACACACAACCGCAACCACACCATTACCGTCGCGATCTGAACATTGAACCTAAATTTCGGTCGATTGGGGGCATTGGAGGATGAATTAAAAGCATGGCTATGATCGTCTGGGCAAGGGCTATTGGCCGACAGTGGTCTGCGACCATGGGTGTCACCGGAGCCACCAGAATTGGAAGAAAAAGGCTGCGTTTCGGGGGATAGCGCAGGCGGACAAGAGATCTGCAATTCTGATTGATTGGGTGGCTTATAGGATGAATTGTGACCATGTTTGGGATCGTCTGGATGTGGGCTATTGGACGGCAGTGGTCTGTGACCATGGGTGTCGCCGGAACAGGAGAATCCGGCTGAAATAAATGCGGCAGTTCGAAACTTTGGCCACGATTTTCTGCAAATTTCGGCGAGTTGGTGGCCGGTGGTTAGGTGGAGGTTGTAGAGGGCAGTGAGGTGAGTCTATTGGTGGTTGGGTCCGGTGGCCAAGGTCGCAGGAAAGTGGTCGGTGGCGCTGGAGTTGTGGTGAAGTGGAGAGAGAAATGGAGAGAAATGAATGAGAAAGGAAGTGACGAGATTGATTTGGGGAATTGATTAGGATTTTTAATTGAATTGGTTCAATTAACTATATATAATACCTGATGTTTGCATTGATAAAATTTATCCCTGAACTTTGAATTTGAACTTTTAAATACCTGGTTTTATGTAATTCCCCTGTCCTCTTTCCCAATTAGTCGATAAATTCTAGTCTCGTTTAGGATTGGTCCCTATAGGGAATGGATATTCTCTGCCTCTAATTAAATCACTACAATATATTAGCATTATTAATTTTTAATTTAGAAAAAATTAAATTCTCGTAATTTAATACAAGCATATGTTACTATGAATAATTCTTGGTGTAAATTATGAACACCATCGGGCCCACCCGGCACCCCTCCAATGGGGGGGCGCCATGTGTGCATTATGGGCCCCATTATGGTGTCCATAATGTACACCAAGCATGGCCCATGTTACTATAGTTTTTATAACTAGCCTCAATAGTAAGGACCACCTTTACCTGATGTAGAAGATCGGCCTAGGCCCTGTGATGGTCCTATGTATGGCCCTTACAAGGCTAGAAAAAGTGAAGGTACAAAAGTTTTAAATTTTTTGGCAGTTTGAAAACACAACAAAATTATAAGGTCATTCCTACTTTGACACTATATTTGATGAGGCAAAGGGTCCAATCTTTGAAACCCTTCACCATATTGTCTTTGACTAAGCAAACCTAGGGAAAAGGTCTCTCGATGAGAAGAAAGCTTTAGCCATCAAAGCATTTTACGATAGGAAAGCAAGTTTGTAGATTTAAATACTTTTTTCTTGTTTTGATGTCATGTACATTCATACAGTAAAGCTCCAGACACAATCAAACCTTGTCCTTGAGTTCCTTCAAACTATATTGTAAAATGAGTCATAGTAGCATTGACTCAACCTTTTCAACGAGTCAATTTTGACTTGTGCTCGGGGGTCAATATGCCGAGCAAAATTGATATTCCACCTCTTGATGGGCCAATATTGTGGACAAGCCAAGCACTTGATGGTCTAGCGGTCTTCACACTTAAGATTAGGGATTTTAATTGGATGTTCGGGTTTGGTTCTAGAAAAAATATATTAGGAATTGAAATCGAGAACTAAGGACCAACTGGGTTTGGTTTGATCCTTGGTTCTTGAATCAAAATTGTGGGTATTTAAATGGAGCTGATTTTTTATATAATAATTTATTTATTTTTATTATTTTTACAATTTATATACTGGGTAAAAAAAAAAAAAAAATTCAAAACCTAAAAATCCTACTTTGAGCATTAATTTTCTAAAACTCTAGATTCTAGCCGTAAGAAATCAAAACTGGCCATACTTTTTTGTCTCTTACCTTACATCAGATTGTTGTATTTCAAATGTTAGTCGTGTTAATCTTTGCAATTTTGGCTTTTCATAAATCAAAAAGTTCAAGCTAAGTTTTAGCATAAATTGATAAATCAAATCATTCATTCTTTGCAACTAGAGCTTTTTTCTCTCTTACATTATTTACAAACTTAAGTGCATTTTAGTTTTTTGTAATGGTTGACAACTCAACCTGATATGCCTTTTCAGTTATTTTGGGTTCATAGTTGTCTTTTGAATTATGATTTTCCCTTATTATTGAAACAGAGCAAGTTCAATATCTGAACTGTATTTCCTTGATATTATATAATTATGTATCTAATTAGTATTTTTTTTTAAAATTTCGGTTCATTTTAAGAATAGAGAATTTAAACATTGTTTGTAACTAAATTATAGGCTCTAGCATGTCTTGCTTATGGATTGAATAAATTTATTAAGAAAAAAGAAAATTTTCTCGAACTATAATTTAAGTTTTGATGCTTTAATTTTCTCCTCTTTTTACGGTTTTTAGTTTCCACCATTTTGCTTGTTGAATGTTTCTTAATTGAATTTTCTTCCTTGCACAAAATATTGTCAAGTATTATTGTGGGAGATACATGTATTGAAAAGATCTATATGAAAATATTTATAAATGTATATAATGAAAATCATTGGGTACAACCAAACACGAATTAAAATTGACGGTTCAGGTTTGAGTTTGATTTCAATAATTACAAGAATTTGAATTGTTCTATTTATGAAATATTATAAGTATAATGGATGGTTTGTAAGTACACCTATGTAGCATTAAGCCTTTGTTTGGGTTCTATTTTTCAAATTATAATAAAAAAAACAGTAATTTTTTAAAAAATGTGTGGTTGAAAAAAAAGATTTTTTTTTTAAAATTTACGTGTAATATTATTTTATTGAAAAAGTGTGTACGAGGAAAAAGATTGAAAAATAAATTTTAATTTATTGGGGCAAAATACTTATAAATGTGTAAATGAGGAAGAAACTGAATCCGATGGAGCATCCCTTCCAAAGGGTGAAAACCTGAGCTCTACATACCATCCTTCCCAATTAGGTTGCTCGATCATCAATTAAAACCTTCGGCAATTTTTCACTCTATATACTGAAACCCTAATCCCAATTCCTCCCCAAATTCCCAAATCACCTCTACTGCAGGTCCTTTTTTAAGCTTGATTTTAAAAATTCATCCACCATGAGGCCCGTGCAGAATTTCGAGCAGCACGCTCGCCACCTGATCGAACCAGAACTCCGTAAAATACACTCTTTCGCTCTCTTTATAATTGTGTATGCGCTTGTGCATAAAGGCGCATGTATATTTTATTTGTGTTATTGATGCTATGCCGTTTTGTTTTGGGGTTTTGGAACAGCAATTCAGGCGAGGCTACAATTGGCGATGGAGGTGCGGGACAGTCTAGAGATATGTCACACCGGGGAGTATTTAAATTTCTTGAAATGCTATTTTCGCGCGTTTTCAGTGATTTTATATCAGATAACCAAGCCCCAGTTCGTAGATAATTCCGAGCACAAGCTCCGTAACATTATAATTGAAATTCTCAATCGTCTGCCCCACAGTGAGGTTCTCAGGCCCTTCGTGCAGGAGCTCCTGAAAGTTGCGATGCATGTACTGACGACCGATAATGAGGAAAATGGTTTAATTTGCATTAGGATTATCTTTGACTTGCTTAGGAACTTTAGGCCCGCGTTAGAGAATGAAGTTCAGCCCTTTTTGGATTTTGTTTGCAAAATTTACCAGAATTTTCGGGCAACTGTTAGTTACTTTTTCGAGAGTGGGGCTTTGGTGGCTCCACCGCCAGTGCCAGCATCTACCTCTGGGTCTGTTGGGTCCTCGTTCGGTGGTGATGATGTGAAGCCCATGGAGGTAGATCAAATGGGTCTGCCAAGTAGTTCTGCTGGAGGGGCTGCAGTGCAGCTCAACCCAAGTATAAGGTCATTTAAGGTTGTTACAGAGAGCCCTCTGGTTGGTATGTTTTTGTTTCAGTTGTATGGCCGGCTTGTTCAGACTAATATCCCACATCTGTTGCCATTGATGGTGGCTGCAATTTCGGTCCAAGGTCCAGAGAAGGTCCCAGCTCATCTAAAGACTCATTTTATTGAGCTGAAGGGTGCACAAGTTAAGGTGGTTATAGATTTTATTGTTGCGAGGTTTGGGGATTATGATCTTCAATTGTTTTCCTATATTTAATGTTTATATTCAGAAAGTACAATGGTGCAAGTTGCTTTCTTGTCATGATAAACGTGCATATGCTCCAAACATGATGTAGAATGGACTTTACCCACAGAATATTTTTCTTCTACCATCTTCAAATTCTACTTAGCTATGGGTTAGTCGCTACATTGCTGGATTGCTAACACTTATATCTTCTCGTTGTCTTTGCATTTGAAGATAAGACTTGCCTGTATTCCTCTTTTCTTGTGTGTTTCTCTCTCTCCTTCTATCATTACTATGAGAAGAATTCATTCATATAATCTGCTATTTTCCTACCCCAACTCTCAGGCACGACCTGGACTAATCTCCTACCATCCAAAACCAAGAAAAAAAGTAAAAGAAGTAGAAATAAAAAAAAAAATCTCAATACCTAGAGTAGCCATTATTTTGGTTTCTCTGGAAAATCTCATGACTTGTTCTGTGCTTTACTCTGCATGCAAACTGGGAAAAATGATAAACTCTTCCATGACCACCATCTCTACAACTATTGTTTCTTTTTCACTTCTTAGTGATATTTTGTGGATATCTGCAGACTGTTTCTTTCTTAACATATCTGCTGAAGAGCTTTGCTGATTACATCAAGCCACACGAAGAAAGCATATGCAAAAGCATTATTAATCTGCTTGTGACATGTTCTGACTTGGTTTCTATTCGAAAGGTTAGTGCATTTCTTGCACTTTTTGGTTCTCATCGTCATTCTTTATTCACTAGAAAGTGATATAAGAAGTTTTTGGCTCCAGGAATTATTGGTAGCCTTAAAACATGTTCTTGGGACAGATTTCAGGCGGGGTTTATTTCCTCTAATTGATACGCTCTTGGATGAGAGGTACATTTTTTTAGTGAACAGAGTTTTTGCAAACATTTCGATAGTTTTTAGCGTTTCTCGGTAATTGGGAGTAAGATTCAACCATCTATGCAGTGGCATGCTCATTTGGCCTAATTTTACACAAAAAGTATCTTCATTTGCAGCGTGAGACAAATTGCAGTATCTGTGATGGATTTCACGAGCAGCTACTGCATTTTTGTGTTGGATGTTTTTTCCCCTGTATTTATGTATTTGTATAGATTGCTGAGAGGTTATTGTAGCACAGTCAAGTTACTGCAATTATTGACAGGTCTTTGGATAAGTGAAGTTATAGCCCTGCCCAGGCACCCATAAATTAAGTATCCGTAATTCTTATTTCTATTTTCTTTGGGATCTCTATGGCTTCACCCAACTACTAAACTTTTGCACAAGAAACCTAGTCATGACTTCACATCTCAGTTCGCCAACATACATAATATATCATGATGAAGTGAAGCCCCTTTTATCCTTCCAAGATCATTTGGGATATCCAGTCCTCGTTACCCTGTGATACCTCCAGGAAGGCATCCACAACATTTTCTTACGATTTCATCAAACACATTATGTGCATGTCATTATGCTCTTGTTGCCAAAGCCATGGTTAAATAAAACCTCTCTTGAAAATTTGTGCATACCTACTTGCCCATTATTGACCATGTTAAGATTCTTAATAGTTGTGGGTAATCAAGGATCAAGGAGTCATTCCACTCGCACCAATAGCTTCATTTGTACGAGTTCAACTATGTCATGCTTTAAATTCTTCTCTTATCTGAAATCTCTCACCAGCATTTTTTTTAGTGATGATTGAATAAGGATTCCCTCTTTTGTTATAGATTAGAAGAGTTCTACAAAATCTTGTAAAATCAAAAAATGAAATTTCTGTTAATCTTCAAAGGATGCTGCTTGAACTTTGTGAGACAACATTTTAGTTGCTTCCTAAAGAATGGTTGGATCAAATAACTTTCTTGTTGAAACCTTTGAGTCTATGTTAGTTTTGACTGTGCGAAATCTCTGTGGTCAATTTCCATTTTCGATAGAAGTTGTATTATTATTATTTTACGCACTCCTGGAACTTCCATAACATTGGCGTGATTTGGTTTGGGTCACATGAATGTATGCTCGATCATTTTGGTCCCATGAATGCAGGGATGGCATACATGTTAAAGAGGTTTCATCATGTTGCATATTCTTGGTCACATGTTGGCAATGTTGGGTTCAGATGCCAATATGTGACATAGATGTCATTGTAACACATAACCTCCTTGATAGTTGCAATGCATATTTAGTTACCACAAATATAGATTAAAAGGAATGGGTAAATATGATAGTCCTATGGAGTCACGATGAATAAGCATCACATTCCTGACAAGTTATTAATCATCTCTTTAAATAACCCTTAAAATTCATGTAATAATCCTTCGATATCAGCAACAGAAATTCCCAAGACTGGGGCATCAAATCAACAATTTGGGGCTGTAGGGAGTAGATATTTATTGTGTATATGGTTTATATAGAGTGAAACATAGGTTTCCTGGATCCGCTCTGGCATCAGCCTTGGGTGGGTTTAATTCATTGTCTAGTTGTTAGGGATGCTAAATAGGTTGGGGATGCGAGGGCAACGTCCCAGCGGTACGGTACAGGGGGATTTTCTTGTATGGACCTTAAAGTCTTGAATGGGATTGGGCTAGGGTTCGTATAAATAGCAATGTTGTAGCCCTATTTTTCATACTGAATAAAATTATCTTCGCTTTGCACTCGTTGACGTAGGCAAAATATCAAATCACGTAAATACTTATGTTGATTTCTCTCTTTTATCTCTTTATTATTGCGTATAAAATCCAACAATATTGATATAAACGAGTTTTCTGCTGCGATTCCCATGCATGAGGATTGATATATAGTAGGCAAAGCTTGGCAATTGATATCTAATGTTTTCTTTTTAGAAAAAATGATATAAGTATACTTGCAGTTAAGATCTATAAAACATACCCAAACCTATATCCACGATTTAACTTCTTAATAATTAATTAAACCTTTCAAACACCATTTAATAAGAGATTGAAGGTTAACTCTTAATTTAACACCATGGACCCACTTTAGGGATGACAATGGGGCGGGTATGGGATGGGTTGGCCATTCCCAACCACCCATCCCGTTGGGTATTTTTGTCACCCTGCCCTATCCCATACCCGGTTAAAGCGGGATGGGATGGGTTTGGGGTGGGGCAAATCCCCTGCCCCATTTATCACCTCGTTTATTTTTTGTTTTTGTTTTTTATTTATTTTATTTTTTGCTTTTATTTTTTATATCTTTAGCTAGTAAATATTATTTTTTTTTTCAATTTGTTAAGCACAACTTATATTTTCTTTATAAATGATTTTTTTTGATAGGTAATCAGAGAATTTTATTTCTTAAAAGAGAGTACACGATAAGTATACAATCACTTTAAGCATGAAAGGAACAACATGAAATTAGGCAACCTTACAATAGGATTTTTAGCCATTGCATTAAATCAAGTATATAAAGTCAAGTAAAATAATTTTTTTATCTGCTTTGTTGTCTTTGTTTGGTCTTCGAAACATCGATCGTTCCGTTCTCTCTATATGCACCATACAATGCATCCCGGAATAAGATTTCAAAGAAGTTTGCTATCCTTATCGCGAAGTTTTCTCCTCCATGCTCGCACCACGTCTTCTATACGCCTAGGTAGCACCTAATCCATTGATTGAGAAGCCAGAATATTGTTCCAAAGCCAACGTACACCATCACAATGAATGAATAAATGATCAATCGTCTCTCCATCCTTTTTGCACATATAACACCACTCGGTTACATCAAATCCTTTTCGTCGAAGATTATCCACCGTTGACACCTGCCTCCTCATGACCGTCCACAATAGAAATGCTACCCGTTGAGGCAATTTGCTTTGCCAAACCATCTTCCAAGGTAATGAACTCTCCACAAATCCCAAAAGGGATTGAAAGTATGAGCGGACTGAAAAAATACCATCTCGAGCCAACCTTCACATGCTATAATTACCCTCTCCTACCCGAATTTGTATCTCATGCAGGGCAGTAAAAAACAATGAATAATCTTCCAATTCCCAATCTTGTAAACCCTTCCCAAAAGTAATATTTCAACTATAGCCTCCATTATGAATGTCTAATACATCACCCACCATAGCAGCAGGCTCTAACGCAATGCGGTATAATGAAGGAAATCCCTCCTTTAACGGTTGATCACCACACCAACTATCATCCCAAAATCTAATATCAGTGTCATTTTCCACCACAAAATTCAGTGTGTTGCTAAAATCACTCCATCCCCGTCGGATATACCTCCATAAGCTCACCCCATAGGAGCCACGACCCTCAACCGTACACCAACCCCCTCCATCATATCATACTTTGCCCCAATGATTTCTCTCCAAAAGCTCTCCCTCTCCATTCCAAATCGCCATAGCCACTTGCCCAATAAAGCCTTATTAAACAAAACAAGGCTCCTCACTCCAAGCCCCCCATCCTCATAGGCAAACAAATAGTACCCCAATTAACCAAATGCATTTTCCTCTCCTTCCCTAACCCTGCCCACAAGAATTCTCTTTGAAGTCTCTCTAATCTATTTGCCACTGCAACCGAAATAGGAAACAATGACAAAAAGTGGGGAGATTTGAGAGAGTGGATTTAATAAGAGTAAGTCGGCCTCCCTTAGAAAGATACATACACTTCCACCCTGCTAATCTCTTCTCCATTCTTTTCATAATACCTTTCCAAATATGTGTACTTTTAAACCGTGCCCCTAGCGGTAGCCCTAAATATGACATGAGCAATTGTGTAACCCTATATCCCAATATGCCAGCCAACTCCTCCACGTTAGTGACCTCGCGTACTGGAATAACCTCAGATATCCCCAAATTGATTTTTAATCCAGACACCGCTTCAAAACATAGGGGCAAACGATGCAGGTTCCTGAATTGTTCATCATCCGCATCATAAGATCAACGTTTCATCTGCAAATAGCAAATGAGACACCTGCAATTGGCCAACCATAAAGCCCCTTACCAAACCCTCTCCCACAGCTTTTTCAAACATCCTTCTGAAAGCCTCCATCACAATAACAAATAGTAATGGGGATAGTGGATCTCCTTGTCGCAATCCTCTACTACTCCGAAAATAACCCTCCGACGTTCTGTTGACTATAACTGAGAACGAAACAGTAGAAATACAGAACTGAATCCATTTACACCACTTATCCCGAAGCCGCACCTCCTAAGCATATATAAAAGGAACTCTCAGTTCACATGATCATATGCCTTATGAATATCGAGCTTACATAGCATCCCGGGAATTCCCAAACGCAATCTTGATTCAATGCATTCATTTGCTATAAGCACAGAGTCCAAAATCTGGCGACCTTTTACGAAAGCATTCTGAAATTTGGACACTACTTTCCTGAGCACCTCCTTTAATCCGTTCGTCAGGACTTTCGCAATAATTTTATACACCCCACAGACTAGGCTAATAGGACGAAAGTCCTTATTGTCGGTCGCTCCCAGTTTCTTAGTGATCAGCACAATAAATGTAGCATTAGAACTTTTTTGGAACCTGCCACGTTCAAAAAAATATGTAAACACATCCAAGATTTCTGATCGCACCACCCCCTAACAAGCCTTGTAAAATGAGAATGAGAAACCTTCCGGTCCAGGGGCCTTATCCTCGTTCATGCTAAACACTACCTCTTTGATTTCGTCCTCCTCAAAAGGTCGCTCTAACCAATCAGCATCATCCTCCGTGATAGTAGAAAAATCCAATCCTTCCAACTCTGGCCTCCACTCAAACTGCTCCCAATATAGATTCTGATAGAAATTCACCAGTTGGCTTCCAATTTCGAGTGGTTCTTCATAAGTTATCCCATCCACTTCCAACACTGTGATAGAATTTTTGCGCCTATTAGAATTAGCGATCCTGTGAAAAAACTTAGTA